TTTTATCTTTTTTTTGGGTCGACTTTTCTCAGATTTCTTTTTTTTGACAGATTCCCTATTAATTGCAGATTTTTGAAAAAAATAATCAACTTCCTATCTTTGATGCAAGATACAAAATTTTTGCTAGAAACATAAAAAATATGCTATTAGCGGAACATTTAGTTAGTCCTAAGAAAGTCAAAAACATGTAACGGAATCTCCGACTTACCACTTTAGTGGAGCGATTACAGAAAATAATGGCCTATTAAGTACATGTTTTTTTGTGTTATTATGAAAGTTCAGAAAACTGCGCAGTTTTTAAAATTATTTTGGACCTATGGAATTTCTTCATTTTTTTTTAACTTTTAAGTTAAAAATTTTAGAATGTTCCGCTAATAGCATATTTTTTATGTTTCTAGCAAAAATTTTGTATCTTGCATCAAAGATAGGAAGTTGATTATTTTTTTCAAAAATCTGCAATTAATAGGGAATCTGTCAAAAAAAAGAAATCTGAGAAAAGTCGACCCAAAAAAAGATAAAAAAATTTAAAGCCTACTGGGTCATACAATTTGAAAAAATCACAAAATTAACGATAACTTCTAAACTATGAAAAATCGTAGAACATACATGGGGGTGAAATCGATAGGTCTAGTCCTCACCTATCACCTGCCTTCGGCTTGACACCTTACAAGAAACACCCTGTATATAAAAATGAAACCCGTTTCGCGTTGTCACGGCATCACGTGTGAACGGCTGAACCGATTTCGATAATTCTTTTTTTTAAATGTTTGTGGAAGTCCAAGGATGGTTCTTACGGAAAAAAATATTAAGAAAATCTCTACGCTAAGGCGGTACGAAGTTCGCCGGGTCAGCTAGTAAATAAAATAAAATAAATTACGAATGACGCCTACTACGATCTGAGAGACAATTATAATATGATATTAACATAAACTCGTACTTATTCAGAATTTAGACCAAAATTTATTCTTTATTGGTTTTAAGGACAAGTATGCGTTCCAAAATAGCTTGCTTTATCTATAATCATATCCTTCCTTATATTTATTTTTTGCTGATATAAGCGTTATGTCAATAACCTTGGTTGCGGGTTGCGATCTCGCACCATTCGCACCGCGCTTTTCCTCCAACTCGCACGCGTTCAGTGGACAACCGGCCTAACGACGCCATTACCGTCTCTAGTCAGCCAAGGTTCGGTCTAGACAGATCAAATGTTTGATGTAGCATTAGACGGGTAAACAAAGCTGATTCTACCCGCAAATTACAAATAGCTACGCTACATTCAGAGAACTTCATTATGAATCATCTCATGGGCCATGTTTATCTTCGTCGATATTTAATTAATTAATAAGCACACATAAAAAAGATTGTTCTCGATTATTTCTATTAATTATTTTATAAACATTTCTACGTATTCGTTTGAACACTTGTTTTGTCTTTATCATTAGGAGAAACAACATTTTCATTGCAAGAAACACAATAAACGCATTGAATAAAATCCAGTAAAGATAGAAACAGCTACATGCACTGCTCCAAGTCTAGCTTTGTATTAAGACTTTAATCACAACTACATGAGATAAAACCTGGATTAAAAACTTAGTATTTTCTTCGAGTTTTCTGGAATGGCTCTACATTTCGTATTTAAAGAAACAGCTTCGTTCGTTTTGACCTTCGCAAGTTTCTTTTCGAATTCTTTAAAAAAGGGCAAATATTTTCTTTTACATTGCTTTTGTTTTATAAACGATGATATAAGGACTTATAATACACCAGGGTCTCAGATAACAAATGTGTCTAGTGCCTGTTCAAGCGTTTTTATAAACTTTGTTACTCTGAGTTTCTCGAGCTTTAAACAAGTTTCACTATTGGAAATACTTCAACAAATGACGTATGAATGTACTACGATCCTCCGGAAGCATGACCGATCAAGGATACAAAATGTTCGTGCTTGTCACATCATTTGCCCCCTGCGGAACGAATATCCGCCCGCGGTCGCACATAGCGTAGTAGTTCGCCATTTTCAGTATAAAATGCTATTATTGAATGTATTCGAACAATATAAATTAATGTTTTACATGGTAAAGCTGCATACTTTAAAATATCCTAAGCATAAAGAGCTATAAAAGATTTTCAATATTTTCAGCGTGAGTATAAAACCAGCCTCAAAGAATAGATTAAGAGAATGTGCCAGAGCCCTCACCTTTTAACAGCGTACCGCGCTAGCATCGACGTGAGTATTTGTGAATCGGTTTGGAGTAAGATCCTACTGACGGTTTTTAGTTAGGGGCATTAGATGTGCGTTGGAATATAACGTGTCGTGTAATTATGACAAAATCATTCTGAACCAAACCCAGATTGGAGAGCTTCGCATAAGGGGCCATCCATAAAGTACGTCACACGAATTTCATGATTTTTTGAACCCCCTCCGTCATTGTCACAGGTGGTCACATTTCTGAGACCCCCCCCCCTCCCTAGTGTGACGTCACATGTTTTGCAATTTCACATCGAAACATTATTAAATTAACAGCAGTTCCGAAATTAGTTTTATTTCCATTTAAATTAAGTATTTTTTTTATATGAAATCAACATTATATTAAATATTTGAAACAATTGAAATGTGATGTCACGAAACTTAGGACCCCTCCCACCCCTTGTCACACCATGTCACACTTTGTCAACNTGACGTCACATGTTTTGCAATTTCACATCGAAACATTATTAAATTAACAGCAGTTCCGAAATTAGTTTTATTTCCATTTAAATTAAGTATTTTTTTTATATGAAATCAACATTATATTAAATATTTGAAACAATTGAAATGTGATGTCACGAAACTTAGGACCCCTCCCACCCCTTGTCACACCATGTCACACTTTGTCAACCCCCTCCCCCCGTCTTTACGTGTGACGTACTTTATGGATGACCCCTAATATGCTACAATGATTACACTTTTAATAATCACTGCTATACACGCACATTTGCTTACGGCTGTCAATTTGTACGGAACGCAATCACATCGCACCACACTCACGCCCAGCTGTGTGCCTGCAGCCTAAGCCATAACTCAAGCTGAACACCGCCAACTAAGGCCGCGTCCACACGCGAGCCTCGCAGTCACAGCGAGGTGTGAAATATCACTTCAACTGTCACACAATTTCGTAACTGTAACAATGTGCGGTTAAACACGCACCCGGTAATTAATATTAATTAAGCCTTCGAATAGTTACTACCCAAAATGGTGTTCGTTTGTTGTGGCTATGGCAACACTGAGCCTAATTTGTGGTCAATTAATCAAATTAACTCGGATGAGCTATGTACTGTGCGATTAAAAATTAATTATACATACTAATTATGTTTATTAATTAGAACGTTAAATAAGATTTATCGGTGCTCACAGGAAAGTAATAAACTTACTTAAATAATTTGGGTATGCTATGATACCAGTTCTTATGGACTTTGATCTACGAACAAAATGTAGTTTTCACTTTTCCGCCAAGAAAATTAATGTAAAGTTTTAAGGAATCGATATAACTAAACCATATGAGATGACTATGACGCTGAAATATTTTCTGTTCCATTTAAAACAACATTAATGTTATTAATACGCGCCATTGATCAAGCCAAAAAAATACACTTCGTTTTCCAGTATCCCATTGATATCCATTTGCTCCCGTTTTATTAATTTAATTACGAAGCAATCCCATTTATATGGTAATCCTGATTAGCGACATCTGTCGGACGCCGCCGATTATGGCGCAAATTGCCGATGCTGCCAAGTGGGCATTCGCTGAATAAGTAGTGTGAGGGTAGAATGTGAATGATAATATAGTTTACGGTGATTGAGAAAGGAAGAGCAAATGATTAATATGATGATGATTTTAAGTATAAAATAATGATTTTTACCTCGAAATAATTATTTGTCGTCGTCATCGCTGAGTAGTAGATAATTTCTGTTTAGTGCCTACCTCGTGCTTGCCAGTACTGAGGTAATCGTTGGAATTGGTAGGTACTAGGTACTTATTCTAATGATTACGATGAAAAACTGCGAAATGATGGCTATACTTAATGATTAAACGAACTTAAAAAGTGAAGTTCTATCATAATTATGCGAGGGCTTTGTCCGAAGAGATTAGAAATAAGAACTATGTAGTATCACGTACGGTGATGCCAGTTTACGCACTGTTAGTTGAGGATTTTTTTTTTTTTTGTGGGTATCTCAGTTTACATCCCATTTGACATTGGTATCCGTCGTCAGTTAGTTTAGAGTAGTAANGTTAGTAGTGAAAAAAATGATATTTAAACATTTAATTATATTAAGTCCTCAAAAAATCTTCTTTAACTCTACAACAAAAACATATTATACCTACCTACGTTATTAGTTGTTAGTAGCATTGACAAAAATAAAAAATGCCACGGAAAAATGGCAGTTTTTAGCGTTAAAACCAAAAAAATATTGTAAACGCCCACGCCGTATCTGTATTGAAGATAGATAAAGGTTTACATCCTGTATTTTAGATACAATTGTGAAAATATAGCAGATACATAAGTATTTTTGTTGGATGTTCATATATTCGGTGGCAATCTAATTGCCAAAAAGGTATTTTTTTTTATGCAAGACAAGGCAGGTATTTGACCGCAATCGCACCTGGTGTTGAGTGAGATGCAGTCTAGGATGGTACATATCTGCCCTGTAAGTGCCTATTCACTCTCGCCTTGTATGGAATATGTGGTCATTTTGATAGAGTCAAGCTTATTCGTCATAATAATTTATGTAAACTACCTGACGATCGACGAAAAATCTTCAGTAACATAGTGAGGGCCTAATGTGAGTTCACACCAAAAATGTAATTAAATGTAATACATATTACGGATTGTACAGCGCCCCTAGCGGAAACGTTCAAGAACTAAAATTTTCATACATTTTTTTTAACGTGCTCACTAGTGAGGACATTTAATTTTGATGTAAACTCACACTCAGCCTACTGGTTTATTAGTAACATAATATAAAAATATAAAGTTAGACCAAGAATTACTGTAAAACATTTAAATGCCACGCAAAATAAAAATTAGTCTTTTTAGGTAAGTACGATCTTAGGTAATTAATATCACATTATCAAACACTAAGATAGTAACTAATTAATTACACAATTAACCAAAACATTATTTAAGGGTTAATATCCATCTCATTATAATTATAGATCTTATTTATTAAGAAAGAGGCCATTAATATTCGATTAATCGATAAATGAAATCTTTATTCGTTAGTTTGCAATTTATTAATGAATACGTAACATTTAGATTACAGTCCATTAGTATTTGAAAATGAGCATAAGTCAAGCAACTTGTAGTGTGGGAAAATAAGCTTTTGCTTGCAATTTATAAAAATTCCCGCGTGAAATTTATTTTGTATAAATTATAGCCTATATTAATCTGGGTTATAAACAATAAAACTGTAAAGTTTCAACAAAGTAGTAGTTTTTGCGTGAAAGAGTAACAAACATCCATACAAACTTTCGCATTTATAATATTTGTAGGATAATATTACACTTGAATGAGGGTTTCCTAATTGCGCTCGACGCTCACCAGTTGGCGCCACTGGCAAGTAAGGTCACTTGCTTGTGGCTAAGACAGTGGCGCCGCCAATATTTTATACATAAAATAAGCATGACAACTGAATTTTGACAGTAAATAATATGTAGATACTGTGGGCTGTGTCAGTTTACAGCAAACGCGCTCACTAGTGAGTGCGTTTAAAAAATGTATGAAAATTTTAGTTTTTGAACGTTTCCCGCTAGGGGCGCTGTACAATCCGTCATACATTTAATGACATTTTTTGACGCGCTCACCAGTCAGCGCGATTGATAAAAACTCACACTAGGCCCTCAAATCTATCTACTAATAGATATATTAATAAACCTAACGTCAAAATTATACACTTGGTAACCAATCAGACCTTATTCTGGGATCAATTAAAAAATAATTGTCAGTTTGACAAATGACAGTCTAAATAATGACATTTTATAGAATGAAAAGTCTCAACTAGTGTTGTCGCTCGAGCTTACTATCGATAGACTATCATATAGTAGTGAAAAAAAGATAGTATCCATCTTTGTAGTCAATTTTCGATAGTATTGCCCTTTACTATTTTCTTGGTGTTGGTTGACTTATCTAATGATAGACCTCTAAAACTAGTTTTAACCGAGAATAACATTGTTTTTCTTTTGGGTTTAGTGTGAAGATGACGTACCTAATAATATCTCTCTCACACCAAATAATGTAAATATTGCAAAACATCACCTACTACAACGACTGAAGATGCCATTTACCTTCACGTGCCGTCTCAGTACTACAATCACATCTTATGATGAGTGCAAGAGTGTCGTAAGTCTTTCTCGGTTTGTCACTTCTTCTTCAGTAGTCCAGCTTGCTCGATAACTTGCCTAGTTGCGTTATTGATGTGACGAAAACGATCTGGGCCTAGTTGGATGCCGCCATACCTGGAAAGGTGGTGTTAATAAATTAATAAGTAGCAATCGATTTCTTATATTAATAATAATAATCCCCACGCAAGCCTTATAAAGGACCGGGCCACTTTTGACCCGTGAGCTCCAAAGCGTACAAACATAATAATAATAAATACACTTTATTGCACACCAAACAAATAACATAACAGAAGAAAAGGAACACACAAGCAGGGTGTCCNGACAAGGTACAATTAGGCGGTCTTATCCGCGATCTCTTCCAGACAACCTATGGTGAGGACAGTTACTTGAAACAAATATGAAGGGGAAGGCGGTGTCGACACTAAAGAAATAAATTATAATAAAAAGCATACAATTTAAACCAATTATTATTAAGATGGATAAAAGTGATATATTATTATCACAAGTAAGAATCGATTTAGTATTAGTACATCATTTTTACACTAGATGTCGCTTTTTACTTGACATGTTAAATCTAAGTAAGTAAAAAATAGCAGGTGTTTTTTGTGAAAGATACTAGATGGCGCTGGTTGCACTACTAGATAATCTAGTTTAACTCTAGATGGCGTCTTAGTCATCTGCATTCGCGACAGTTGTATCTCCGTTATAAAAAAACATTCAGAAGGAAAAAAAAGTTGAGACAAATGAGAGACGTCTTACCCAGAAAAAAAAGCGGGGAAGGAGCGGAGCGAAAAAGTGTTTTGAATAACCAATCAGATTTAATTAATTCCATTTCTCCTCTCCGCTCCACGCCGCATCGCCGCCGCTGTAAATTCTAGGGAAAAAAACCGCCCGACACCTCTCCGCTTCGCTCCGCCTTGGTGGAAAACTGGCCTAATAACACTTACCAGCGCGATACAACGACGAGCGTGTTCTTTTGATCTAGTATTAACACAAATTACTAAAGTGCAATAACCTTAATTTCGAACCCCTCCTATGTTCAGTCGGCCGTTTGGTGTAGTGTTTCAGAACGGACTACTATGCCGAGAGGTCCCGGGTTCGATTCCCGGCCGGGCAGAAATTAAAATGGTGAATTTTAATTTCTGTGACGGGTCTGGGTGTAAATATAATATGTATGTTTTTAATTTAAAAAAAAGTATATAAGTAGTATATCCGTTAAGCTAGCACCCATAACACAAGCATTGAGTTGCTTACTTTGGGGCTAGCTGGCGCTGTGTGAAATTGTCCAAAGATTTATTATTATTATTTATTATTATGTTCTTCTGATTAATTTCGTTGCGGGTCCAATGACAGTTTAACTTTCCCCCGGGACAAACTTGACCTTCATTGGTTGGGTTTTTGTGGCGGTCAAGCTGTAGATCCTGGCTACACAGGAGTTGCAGTGGTGGGAACTAGGCATGGAACATTTCATGAATAGCAGGTGAAAAATCATATGAAATGAATTTCATTAATCACACCTGCTAAATTACTTCACATAGACTACTATAATTTCACAGTCAACGAAATCACGAATCACATGAATTTCATTCATTCATTTGAGCGAAGTCCGTGAGCGCAGCTCTGCGAAGCGACCAAGCGAGTAAGAAGGAATGATTTGATCATGTGCGTGTTAGAAAAGGACAAGAGATGTGATGACGGACAAAACTGGGCATTTTAAATATGAACTTTAAACTCAAAGGTAAGGTTTAGATTTCCTTGTCATCATTCGTATGATTTCATTAGATAGCAGGCAGATGAAATGAATGATTTTCACTAGTCGCGCGGTTATTGATGTGCTGTGAAACTGTTTGTTTTTTGTTGTGCGACATAAATGAAACAGATGTTGTTACATTTCATATTTTAGCTTATTAGCAATCCTTCATCATAATTCATACTTCATTAAAAGTAGCACATTATATGAGAGAGCTACACTGCGAATAAAAATCATTGCCTGTGAAATTTCGCATGTGAAATCATATGAAAAAAAATCATCATTTCATAGAATGAAAATGAATGAAAAATAGCAATCATTTCCATGCCTAGTGGGAACGAGAGGTGGGAATAGTCCCGTTAAAGTGCAATAAAAAATCACTAATAATCTTAAAACACTTACCATCGCGACACAACTACGAGCGTGTTCTTTTGATCCAGTATCTGCAGTAGATGCAACATGCGACCGCCCGCGTGGGCCTCGCCGTCGTCGTCGCAATCTTGTAGGAATGTAGTGTAAGGCCCGTTTTCCACCAAGGCGGAGCGGAATGGAGCGGAGCGGAGAAGTGTTTTCAATAACCAATTAGATTTCATTAATTCCATTTCTTGAAGCCATAGCCGAACGGTGAAGTCGGACTGGCTGATCCGTGATCCGGGGAACGCGGGTTCGGCCCCGCCGCTTGACTATAATTGTGGTAAGCTTACTTGACATAAGTATATTTAGCTTAGTACGAGGGGTTAACGGGATTATTATTAATTTGTGCAATAACAAATTACTAATAATCTTTTTAAAAGAAAAAAGAAGTTTCTAATAAAAAATTGACCGCCCGACACTTCTCCGCTTCGCTCCGCCTTGGTGGAAAGTGTGGAAACCAGAGGTGGAATTGTGTAAAGCAATCGTAATCATTTGACAATTCATAACGTACGATTATTCTGTCAAACGCTTTGTCTGTCTGACTTTATCGTACGTTATGAACTGTCAAATGATTACGATGTTTTAGCGCTCACCAGTTGGCGCCACTGTAGAGTAAGGTCCTGTCACTTGCTAGTCGCGAAGACAGTGGCGCCAACTTGTGAGCGCTAAAGTGGTAGGAGGACTATCGCATTTGCACTCATCAAGATGGCGCCACTGTAGAGTAAGGTCCTGTCACTTGCTAGTCGCGAAGACAGTGGCGCCAACTTGTGAGCGCTAAAGTGGTAGGAGGACTATCGCATTTGCACTCATCAAGATGGCGCCACTGTAGAGTAAGGTCCTGTCACTTGCTAGTCGCGAAGACAGTGGCGCCAACTTGTGAGCGCTAAAGTGGTAGGAGGACTATCGCATTTGCACTCATCAAGATGGCGCCACTGTAGAGTAAGGTCCTGTCACTTGCTAGTCGCGAAGACAGTGGCGCCAACTTGTGAGCGCTAAAGTGGTAGGAGGACTATCGCATTTGCACTCATCAAGATGGCGCCACTGTAGAGTAAGGTCCTGTCACTTGCTAGTCGCGAAGACAGTGGCGCCAACTTGTGAGCGCTAAAGTGGTAGGAGGACTATCGCATTTGCACTCATCAAGATGGCGCCACTGTAGAGTAAGGTCCTGTCACTTGCTAGTCGCGAAGACAGTGGCGCCAACTTGTGAGCGCTAAAGTGGTAGGAGGACTATCGCATTTGCACTCATCAAGATGGCGCCACTGTAGAGTAAGGTCCTGTCACTTGCTAGTCGCGAAGACAGTGGCGCCAACTTGTGAGCGCTAAAGTGGTAGGAGGACTATCGCATTTGCACTCATCAAGATGGCGCCACTGTAGAGTAAGGTCCTGTCAATCGCCAGGGGTGCCAACTGTTAAGTATAAAAACGGTAGCCCTCATTCCACCTCAGGCCTAATAACACTTACCAAGCGCGATACAACGCGACACTTCTCCGCTTCGCTCCGTCTTGGTGACTTACCATCGTGATACAACAACGAGCGTGTTCTTTTGATCCAATATCTGCAGTAGATGCAACATGCGACCACCCGCGTGGGCCTCGCCGTCGTCGTCGCAATCTTGTAGGAATGTGGTGTGACCGTTCTTCGTCCGCTCTATACGGTAAGCGTACATGTTGTGCGTTGCGTTCATTATTTTTTTGTTTTCCTTTAGTTTCTCTAGGACGGCGCTGGGGATTACAATGATAAACGTTAGAATTACACATAGACTTCTGTATTAAGAATCCAGGAAAAACTAGTTCAAAAGCTGTTGTAATGGAAGCATCTATTTATTTCTACGTTTCAACCAAAAGACGTCTACTGTTAAACGAATTGTTTCTCCTTCCAGGATTTCAGGCCTATGGTTGGCACACTGGAACTTTTATGTCCCAACAGCCATCAGTTAATTATGATGAGCAATATGCCATATTATGTAAAAATTTTATAGCACAGAAGAAATACATTTACCTCATTTACCTACACAGTTTGCATGAAAAAATTGTACGCCATCTAGCGGTATCTAAACTAACATCGCTCTAAGCAACAGTATTTCTGCTGACTTCTGAAACTTGTCATACTCACTTGACTTCTACTATTCTAAGAAAAATATCAAGATTATTATCAAATCATTTTGTTTGACTACTAGCGCCGTCTGGCGGCAAAAACTAACATCGCTCTAAGCAACACACTTCTGACTTCTAAAACTTCTGACACTCACTTGACTTCTTCTATGCTGTGGACCTCAGCGGCGTGACCTTGGAAATTACTTTTTCTGTCAGTCAGCACGGCCCCGTGAGTGATGGCCGGGCATTCGATGCTTAACTGGAACCAAAAATTAAAATACAATTTTACATATTAACATATTACACATTTTTTTTACTTTGGCACTTCTATTGAGTATAATATGCCAATGCGTATCTAGGATTACCTCACATGGTCCACCCCACTATAAAAACGCATGGACACTATGAGCATGAGTAGAACAGTAAACAAATCACCATGATGCATGTTATTTGTTTATGTAGTTAGATCTATCTGTGAAAACTTTTAAAGCAGCACTGATGCATTAATATAGTATTTAAATATTAGTTTGGTGATTGGTAGTAATGTGGGTAAAACTATCTCCCGCCTGCATGATTATGGGTCTTTAATAGAATCGGGATTAAAAATATCCTGTTTTCCCTGAGTCACCAAACTAAATTAGTCTAGTGTTTGAAGTATAAGAAGTTAACAGACATAGTTACTTTCCTATTTATAATATTAGTATGGATTGACGTACCTTTAACCTATCAATAGATTCAGGCAGCTCGAGCTCGGTCTCAGGCTCCGGGGAGGGTGTCTTCATGTTCATCAGACACTCCCGGATCGCCTCCACCCATTGGTAAATCACTGTTTCACCGATATTATCTCTGTAAGAATGATGAGAAGGATACAGGTTACATTAGGAGTATTATTGAGCTGTTTAGGCTTATTATTGAAAAGAGACATGAAATTACAATTAAAGAAAACATACAAAGGAAAGGTAAGAATTTTTATTTTTTTATTTTACCATTATCTACACTAATATTATCAAGAAGAAAGATTTAATGTTTTGTATTGAATAGGATCTGGAACTAATGGACTGATTTGAAAAATCTTTCACCATTAGAATCCCACATTATTTTTGATGTGGGATTCTGATGTGGGATCTATTCTTATTCTAATAGGCGGTACAAAGTTCACCAGGTCAGCTAATAAGTAATGAATTGTTCTATAAGGACATTATCTAAAAATATAAAAGGAGAAACTGACTGACTTAGTGACAGATCAACGCACAGCCTAAACGGTTAAACATAGGCACTTGAAATTTGGAAAGGACGTAGCTTAGGTACCGTAGAGGTGCACTAAGAAAGGAATTCCCGAAATTCCCACGGGAACGGGAATTAGCGGGAAAATCATTTAGTATGAAAAATCTAAACCGCTTAAGTTAGACGCTTGAAATTTAGCATGCAGGTACCTTAGTAAACTTAAAGCTTAGTTACAACAGGATATTGCAAAATTCCCACGGGAACGGGAGTTAGCGGGAAAAAACATTTGTATGAAAAAATCTAAACCATGTAAGATAGATGAAGGGGGTATAACGGGATCCACGCGTACGAAGTCGCGGGCGGCCCTGATAAATGTGATAATGTACTTGTAAGTATTACTGACCATATCCCTTCATTCATGTCAAAATTTATATTATTATTATATATATTACTATTTCGTTAATGTAATTTATACTTACAAATACACTGCATCTAGAGTCTGATGCAGTATTTGCTTAGCCTTTCTATCCATCCACGGCGCCGACAGCTCGTACTGGGGCGGCGACTGGCTCGGGTAGTCCGGGGTCATGGTAACACTCAACAAGATCTCTCGCTTGATGTCTTTCACTTTTATACTGTAACATGCCTCACTTTCAGTCACCCAGTCTTCGCCGTATATTGAGCTGAGAGCTTCCACTTCCTCTAGCTGTGGAAAAGTTAGTTTTTTCTACTTAGTTTCATGACAAAATAAAAGTTTTAGAAGTAATTTTGTTGAGGAAGAAATATCGTGTTTTTGAACAGAAAGTTTGTGTCTTACACAACTAAATATATTGTGTTATCAATTAAATAACTATAGAACGAAGCTATTGCTTAGTATTTACAAAAAACAATATGTTGTGAGTTACTCACTTGTCGTGTTTTGTTATTGGAATCCATAACCTCGAAAGTTTGGTTTAGGTTATATATTACAAAAACTAAAAGAATCAAGAATAATTAAGCCCACAAAGCACAAGATGAATATTATTTTCTGTGATATCTTTACTTTTTAGTAGTTTTGCAAATTTTCGTTCAAGTTACTGACTAGGCATGGGATAAAATGTAAGTTTTATTCAATTGAATGTTTCAACTGTATATGTCAATCGAATTATAACTGATTTATACAGCATGTTAAAAATAAAATGCAACAAAAAAGCAAAAAATATTTAAAATGTAAAGGTTAAAACATTTGAGACTAAAACTTTACATAGTTATTATCACTGTTTGAATAGGTAACATTTAGTAAACACTATTTATTTTCATGTAATACAACTTTTATATTACATATTATGATAGTTTGGATTTTTTAATTGCAGAAATTTGAAGAATTTATTGCTTCGTGAAAATACGAAAACAAGCATCCTCAACTTTATAAAATTTAATGGCGATTGAACGTCATTCAATTAATTGAGTCGATTGTTCAATTGAAAATTGATTCCGACATCACTAAAATATGTTTTGACGTTCCATGTCAGTGTCAGTATGTTTTTTTTTAAAGTCTGCCACAGATTACTAAACGTATGCGCAAGGAATTTTAAGCTTGCAGCCTATGATGACAAAAAAAATTGTAGGTAAATCAGAATAATATAATAAAAGAAAATCAACATAAAAATAGACGTTGTACTGCACTTTTAAGACATACCTACATCATGTACACTTTTAGATCCCCAAATTATACTGAACCAATTAACTACACCTTCCCTACACTACTCGTAATGTTTTAAACAATATGGCTGTATTATCATCACACTCAAACGCACAGCCAACCCAACCAGGCATGTAGATTTTCAACTAACTTCGTTCATTCTTCCACGCATCAAAGTCAGTATAGGATTAAATTACAATTTAATACCTAGCTCGATCTTATTCTTTACCTAATCTCCATTTATCTCCTAAATAAGTAATCTTGTAAGCTATGAAATTACGCGGTTTCCGTTGCGTTCGAGTATTTCCATAATACACGTGAGGTGGGCACATTTGCATACGGGGGGTGTATTACACGCGAGTAATCCACTAATGTCGTTTCGATGTGTGTAATCACGTAGACTTCAGAGTCAATCCGGTTGTGGGTGCAATTCTGTTTTACATAACATAATCGGGTGCAGTAAGCTCGTGCAATACCGACTGGTCTTTAAATTTTCTATACTTTCTCAGGTAGAAAGGTACTTCATTTAACACTAAAAACATAACCCTCCTTCTGGCGTAGTCGGGTAAAAAGGGATATCAACGGCATAGCATGATTTTTTTATGAAACGTTTGACACTGTTTCAGTGCTCATTTTCCTGTGATCCTGTCAAATTAAAACTGAATAAGGTCAAGGGCTTATTAATTTTAACGTTTTAATTATACGATAAAAATTGATAAATCAAATGTGTAAAATAGATAAAGTAATGAAGTTTAGAAGAGCACTTTCGTGGCGGAGTCTTACAGGGTCTTACTTACCTACTGTGCTTCTATTTTAACAGCTGTGTACCTAGTTTATTCAAGCAGATTTTTGGAGTTTTTTATGCCCATAAGGAGTGTAATATTTATAATTTCTATCGCATTATTCTATTAAATAAATAATTTTCCTACTTTACTATTGCGAGTTTTCCGCCTTACTTATGTATTAGGAAGTTACGGATAGAAGAGCTAGGATTACACTTTTTGGTTGGTTACTTTACCAACCTGAGACAGTATTTTTGAAATGCACAATGCAGATGATGAACCTTCTGACTGTTATTCTATTTGGGAATTAAGCCTTTGGCATAATAGTCGTAGCCTCGTAGGTTGCGTGTCCATTACTTCATAGCGGAGTTCCGGTATTGATTACAGTGATCGTAAGTAAAGCTTATCGACAGCGAATGTAGTTTTCTATTTTTAAAATCTTAGAAACTTTTTTCTGTATGCCACCTAGTGCCAGGAAAAAACATAGAAGATAGCTTTTGCCCGCGTCTTTGCTTGCACGCGCGAATTTTGGTCTGTCACAGACAGAATAACTGTCGAGCGCGCGTCCCTCTGAAAGTCTCCAACTATCTCATCATAATTAATATTATTTATTTTAGCTCTATAGCATTTCTTTGCAGTGACGGAAACGAGAAGTGTTTGTCATTATCATCATCATCATTTCAGCCACATATGCCTCCTCCAACGACTTTCACATCGCACGATTGGTAGCGGCCCACAACCAGCGCCTTCCTGCTACCTTTATCAGGCCATCGGTCCATCTTGTGGGTGGACGTCCCACTCTGCGTTTTCCAGTACCTACATGGCCTCCACTCCAGAACCTTGCTATCCCAACGGCCCTGCCCATTGCCTCTTCAGTTTGCTAATCCGTCGGGCTATGTCAGCGACTATAGTTCGTTTACGTACGGGAAGTGTAGGTGAGTTTAGGTAATGTTGTTATTTGGGAAAATAAATTCAAACAGTTTATAGATATTTGGTTTATTGTGCTGTTTTAAAACAACTTATTAAATATTAATTACAATTTTATTTTATCATCACATAGTTAGGTACACTACATACATAATGTTTTATTAACATCTGATCCAATGAAAGAGAGACAGCACAAAATAAGTACATATTCTACTTACATTTAATTTAATTTTAAAATCATTTACAAGATTTTTTAAGGACTTAAATTAAGTATGGCTACTATTAATAGATTTTTATATTACACAAGAATATCACAGTATCATAACTACTCAAACCCTCCCACAGAACTAGTTTTAGCTAACTGATCTAATATTAACCTATTTACAGATAATCTAGACCTTATAATAATAATAATTTAAGTAAAAATAATTTATTATTACTAAAGTGAATTATTTGTAGGTACTTACACTAACTTTAAATTATTATGGACACCAAACATACCTGTCTACATACATGATTACGTATTTATTTATTAACTATAATATGGCGACACAGTACCTACGGACCTACGTAATATACAAATAATCCTATCCATATCCATTGACACTATTAAATTATACCTACGTAGATCCAACACACGCTTCAGTTAAAGTTGATTACATACTTTTTGTAACAAAGAGCAGAAAGTGTAGTTTAGGCAAAAATAAGAAAAAAGTTAAAAATTAAAAAAAATATTGCCCTCGCTAAGTTGGGACACTTTTCACCCAAACTAGCCCGTACAACATGGACAATCAAGACAGTTAAGGACGAAGCACATTCATTAACTTGGAAACAGATTGTAACCGTATCAACTCGAGGCGGCCAGTATTCTTTGTATGAAACTCCTACTGCAACGCACACTTTATTCGGTCCGTCACGTAAGTAAACACTTCGCCTCGCAAAAGGCGATACGGCGTTGATCCCTTTCCGAGTTGATAAGTCTGCTTATGACCTTTATCCGGAGAAGCAGTTGTAACTACCTACTTACAGATATGAAATCACTGAGATTTTAATAAAAATACACCAGATAGATTGCCTACTTGTCTATGGTTATCCACTGCATGCCTTAGGAATTTTCTCTTCCTTGCTTTCGTCCTTTTAATCTTTTTAGGAGCGGTACAGTTTCCTGTACCTAGATTTTTTATGCATAACAAACAAGGCAGGTATTTGGCCGCAATCGCACCTGGTGCTAACTGAGATGCAGTCAAGGATGGTAGGTACTTATCTTTCATGTAAGTGCCTATTCACTTTCGCCTTGAAGAGGCCCGGGTTAGAAGATTAGAAGCCTTTGCCTCTAATTACATCTTCAATGCCCTGCTTTAATTTCAGACGTGACCGATTCAGCAAAGTCATTGGAAGTCCCGCTTTGTACCGAGCAGTAACTGGCGGGAGAACTCCTGTTACTCAAGTTATGCTCCTTCTCCTGACTCTGGTAGTCGATCATGCTTCCACTAGGCTGCCTAAGAAACGGCATCGGACTGGAATTGACCATTTTCTCGGGCTTCTTCAAGAGTTCTTCAATGGAGTATGGGTTTTTCTTCTTCTCTTTTTCAGTTGGAGTCTTTCGTTCATCATCAGGTCGATCGGTGCTATCATCGCTGGCTTCTACAGATATGTGTTCGGAATTCTCTGACTTCACTTCGTCGGAGTTCATTCTGAGGAGATCGTTGTGTAGGCTGATGTAGGGAGGGAAGTTCTTGGCGTCAGGGTACTGCATCATGATTCGCTGCCACGGCGAGATGGGGTACGGTTTGAGGAGGCCCTGGGCTTGGACTTGGTTGGCGAGGAGCCAGGAGGTGGTGAGTCGCCTTTCGTAGAGAGGGTCTGCTTGGGGAGGAGGGACTCTTATAGCGGAATGTGCGAAGTAGGAGGGGCTTTGTGGAACGGGTGTGGGAGGCAAGCTCGTCTTCAGAGACATGTAGTCCATCACGTTAGGAGGTAGCTCTGGCTGCGGGTACGATTCTGTAAAGAAGGAAAAATACATTAAAATAAAATTAATGACGATTCTAGAATAGTCATACGACAAAATTTTAATAAATTATTAATAATAACTAGGTAAATGGGTCAAATTCTTCATTATCATTAGTTACCTACCAATTATTTAATTATGAAAACACACTACGATGATACACTTATTTTAAACAGTACTTAGTTAGGTAAGTTACCTAGATATTCGTTCTTTTAATTAAGCTCGACTACCTTTTATTAACTACTAGCTGACCCGGCGAACTTTGTTCCGCCTTAATGGCAATAAATAAGCAGACTTTTTTTTAAATTTCGAACGGGATAAAAAGTATTCTATGTCCTTCTCCTGGCTCTAAACTACCTCCCTGACAATTTTCAGCTAAATCGGTTCAGCCGTTCTTGAGTTATAAGCGAAGTAACTAACACGACTTTCTTTTATATATATAGATTACTTACATCTAAAGCAATATCATAAACATTTGTGCTCAGATAAAATTTTCTACAGCACCCTAATAAGTACCAAAACATTGAAGTATAAAAACTGTTCTTACATACAGTTTAACTTAAAAATATTTACAGCAAAACATCCGGATACAAACAATACAACAATAAAACGGATGGCATAAACCTCACAGAGTATCGAACCTCCATTACTGGCACGCTTACACTCCAAC